GGCTCAGCGGCTCGGCTGCTGGGCGGCTCGGCGGCTCGGGCGGCTCGGCGGCTCTGCCGCTGGGCGGCTCGGCTGTCGGGCGGCTCGGCGGCTCTACTGCTGGGCGGCTCGGCTGCTCTGCTACTGGGCAGCTCGGCGGCTCTGCTGCTGGGCAGCTCGGTAGGGGCGGCTTGGGACCGTTTAGGGACGGCGATAGGGCCGTGTAGGGGCGGCCACGGGACCGCTTAGGGTCGGCGATGGGGCCACTTAGGTGCGGCGACGGGGCCGCTTACGGTGAGAGGCGGCGACGGGGCCAGCAGGGGCGGCGTCGAGGCCGCTAGGTGCGGCGACAGGGCCGCGTATGGGCGGCGACGGGGCTGCATAGGGTGAGGGGCGACAATTGGGCCGCTGGGGGCGGCGACGGGGCCGCTAAGAGCGGCGACGGGGCTGCGGAGGGGCGGCGACGGGGCCGCTTAGGGGCGGCGACGGGGCCGCGTAGGGTGAGAGGCGGCGACGGGGCCGCTAGGGGCGGCGACAGGGCCGCTAAGGGCGGCGACGGGGCCGCGGAGGGGCGGCAACGGGGCCGCTAGGGGCGGCGACGGGGCCGCGTAGGGTGAGAGGCGGCAACGGGGCCGCTAGGGGCAGCAACGGGGCCGCTAAGGGCGGGGACGGGGCCGCGGAGGGGCGGCGACGGGGCCGCTAGGGGCGGCGACAGGGCCGCGTAGGGTGAGAGGCGGCGAAGGGGCCGCTAGGGGCGGCGACCGGGCCGTCAAGGGCGGCGACGGGGCCGCTTAGGGGCGGTAACGGAGCCGCGTGAGGGGTGACGACGAGGCCGCTAGGGGCCACTAGGGGCCTGGAAAGGGCGGCAAACAGCGCGCCTCGGGGAGGAGCGATTGGCGCTCTGGTCAGAAGGGAAGTTTTCAGTGGTGGGCCCAAGGTAGCGTTCCTACTAGGGAACCTACTCTATACCATGTGAAGAATGAGGAATGAATGAACTAGCAAGCAGGTGGGTACAAGTAGGAAAACCTAGAAGTGTTGTACCCCATATTGTCTACCCCACTATAGCCTACACATACTATAGTATAAGAGTTTGACACTTGATTGCGCAGATTCAGTTCTATCCAACTCGAAACTGTACTATTTTGTTTGGTTGACTATAGTGTAGCAGGGCAGACACTATAGTGGTACAATTTAGGTGAAGGTCGGATGTTGTTTCTCTGTATCTGCATGCTACAGGGCCAGGGGAAACCAGCGGAACCAGCATTTGGCTGGTTGGGCAAAGACAAAACAGGTTCTGTTTTTAGGGCCTGAACCTGGTTGTTGTTTTCCCAGGTTGGAAAAACAGAACCAGAAGTTGTTTACCAACCTACCACCTGCTGTTTTGTCCAGCCAGGTTGGTTATGTTACTTGGAATTTTTTGGGATCATCCCTGGTTGTTCCCAGGTTTATTCCCAAGGTCCTTGCTAGCTAGAATTGTTTATTCCTTCTCTGTTTGTAAGTGGATATAGTCAAATTGATTCAAGCAAATTCCTTTATTGCTGGAATTTTGTTTCTATGCAGTGCGACGGCGGAATGCTGCCCGAGTCAACGCTAGTATGCTAGCGCCCCAGTTCTAGGCAACCGCTGTTTTGAAGCTCTTGGAGCGAGCATCGATATAGGAAATTCTCACCTTAATCCAATCAATGGTCTGCAAGGTACACCCAAGGACCTTTGGAGGTGTTCCCAAGGAGAGGTTTTAAATTTGATTAAGTCCCAGTAGCTTGAGATTATTAGAACAATATTTGCTCCCAATGCCAAACCCCCTACTCTGCGTGTCTTGTTGGCAGATGCAGGCGTTAGTGGGAAATTCATCATTCAGATGGATATATCAATGGCATTTCTCAATGGGATTTTGGAGGAGGATGTGTACATGACGCAGCCGCCTGGGTACGAGGATGGTACGGGCAGGGTGTGCAAGCTGAAAAGGTCCATCTACGGCTTACACCAGGCACCACGTTGCTGGTACCAGAAGTTGGCAGCTGTTCTAGAGGAGATGGGATTCAGGACCAGCAGCTGTGATGAGGGCGTCTTTCTCAAGGGGGAAGGAGAGAAGCTGATGATGTTTCTAGTTTATGTGGACTTTTTCTCTTTAGCAGCAGCATGTAGGAGATCCAGAATGTGCAGTAGCAGCTGATGGAGAACTTCAAGTGCAAGAACCTTGGGGAGGTAAAGTACTACCTCGGGATGCATGTAGAGAGGGATCTACTTCACATGTGGTTAAAGTTGCACCAGGAGAAGTTCATCAAGGAGCTGGGGGAGAAGTACGGGATTGAGAATGAGCGCAAGGTTGCAACTCCCCTGCCAGCAGAATTCAAGCTTGTGAAGGCTGCAGAGGATGAAGGGGTTGAAGCCGAGAAGCTGTAGCAATTTTAGTCCTTGGTAGGCAGCCTCTTGTATGCAGCAGTTCATACGAGGCACGACATCTCTTTCTTTGTTGGGCAGCTGGTAAGGGTGGTGCAGAATCCATCGGAGGAGCAGGTGGATACAGTGGAGCGTGTGGTGAAATACCTAAACTCTCACCCAAGCATTGGAATTCAATACTCCGCATCTGCACAGGTGAAGCAGAAAAGGGTTGAGGTGCTGAAAGAGAAGGGGGAGAAACTTGGAGAAGGCAAGCTCTTTCTCACTTGCTTTACCGATGCTACGTGGGCCTCTGAGAATGAGGAATCCTCATTTGTGGAAGGATACATCTACGTAGTTGGGAGAGGACCTGTTAGTTGGAGGTCAAAGAAGCAGACGGAGACGGCACTCTCTTCCATGGAATCAGATTACATGGCAATGTTCCATGGGGTGAAGGAGGTGATTTAGCTGAGGAGGCTGTTAGAGGAGATTGGCCAGGAGCAGAAGGTTGATACTGTTGGTATAAGGGCCTAATAAACTCAAGCTATTGAGACTTAATCAAACTTAAATTTTCTCCTCGGTGTCACCTCCAAGGGTCCTTGGGTGCTTGGTACAACACCAGCCCCTATCCTCGGGTCCGAGTTTGTAGAGAGAGGGATGAAGAGGGACTTGGTCAAAACAGCAAGAGTATTCGTCGTCCGACGCGGCGCCTTCGGGGACTAGCGCGCAGTCCTCCGTCGCCCGTCGCGGCGCCCCCCGGGGACCCGCGCGCCGCCCCTCATCGCCCGTCGCGGCGCCCCCGGGGACCCGCGCCCCGCCCCCCGTCGCCTGTCGCGCCGCCCTCGGGGACGCGCGCCCCGCCCCTTGACCCCGTGCAGTGCGGGGCTGCTTCCCCCCCCCCGCCCTTCCCCTTTGTCCTTCCTCTCCCTCCTGCACTTGCAGCTATGGGGGTGGCGGATATGGGGGTGGCGGGTGTGTGAGCCGCCTCCTCCTCCTCCGTCTCCCACTGCTGCAGCTGACGCTGTAGGGGATGGATGTGTGGGAGTCGAGGGAGTGGAGCTAAGGGGGTGCCGAGGGAGTGTGGGGTGGAGTAGAGGGTGTGGCGCTAGTGTTGCAGAAGGGGGTGTGGGGCAATGGGGGAAGTTGAACGTAGGTAGCCGTCGTGATGCCAGCAGCGCTTGTAGTCCGGAGCCGGCGAGCTCCGGTAGCCAGTGAGCCCGTTGCACCCGTCGCCCGTGGGTCAGTTGCTCCAGCCGCTCGGCGTAGCCGCGGAGCCAGTTACTCCCGTAGTCCGGTGCCGTCGTGCTCCGATAGCCAGTGTGCCTCTTGCTCCAGTTGCCCTCGTGCCAGCAGCTTCAGCCGCCTGCCTCCTATCTCCTCTCCTCTCACGGTCCCTCCTCCTCCTCCTCCTCACTTCGCCTCTTCTTCTGCTGCGCTGTGTAGGGTGTACCACTTCAGGGGGTGTTCAGCACAAGGCTATTCCTGCATGCACTTAGGGGGTGTGTCAGAATATATCGTATATATATTTTATATAAGTGCATGTAGTTCTAGCTTTAGTGTAGTCACATAGGTGTTCTTTGTGGTGGTGCACCACTCCTTGCATGTTTCTCCTCTATTTGTACTTGTCATTCCATAGTACAAACCCCCTTCTTTCTTGGACAACTTCTCATGCCTAGACTAAACCCTAGGTTCCTAGTCCTAGCTATGCCTCTTATTTTAACAAATTCATGCACACAAAGTTATAGTTCCTGAATACCAGTATTCGGTCTCCGATCGTGCTACTTTGCGCCTAGGCTCTACCATAGTCGCATATTCTCCGCAAGCTCAACGCTGCGCTATGTTTGTATCGTCCTGTTATTCACATTCTCTACGACAAGGTCTCAATAGGACTTTCAATCTCTTAAACTCTTTGCAACTTATCCTATCTAATTCATCCTTAAGTTATGTCAACATTTCCGCCCTCTTCGCTTGTCTCCAAAACATTTTGCCACTCTGATCCCCCTGGTTAAGTTCACTAAGCGTGTACAACTTGAGCTGCGGGGTATAAGTAGGTGACAGATTTGGGCTTAAACATCATTTTTTGGTTGCAAAATGTTTAAAGTTAAGCTTTAAAATTATCAGTACCCGTTATACTTTCGCATTTGCAGCCTCCAAACCCACACAACCCTCGCCTCGGCATGCTAATTGGCATGTTGTATGCGCTGCGTACCTGCTGTAACCACTTGTGCTTGAAGTTTGCCTGGAATCGCATTCGCTTGCAGTCGAGCCGCGAGTACCGAGCGGAAGGAAGAACAGTATGTTCTGGAAGGCGGGAGAGAGGCTGCAAGGCCAATTTACAGAATGGCACAGCGAAGGGATGCTAACGAAGTGTCATCACTGCGAAAAGCCATTGTGGCGAAGAGCCATCCCAGCCCCTCTAAAGCACCAGCCGATCGCTGGGAACCCAGCCACAACAGCAATTCGACTGCACCGAGCTTTTCCTATCCGTTGAGCCGCCATCCTCGCCTCTTTGCTGACCAGTAGAGTTTTGTGTAACACCCAGCGCTGTGACCAGACCCTTGTGACCGTCAGACGAATATCATAGCCATAACGCCTGACCACTATTTTCTTCCGAAAGTAGTGCACCATCGTGTGAGATAGGCATGGGTACCATTCGTCAATCCGCAACACTCACAGTGGTCGTTTTGTTTGCCCTTGTGGCCGCCATTTTCGCGACACCAGCAGCGGCTCACAACTTCTGCTTCTACGAGTGCTCCGTCTTCGCCAACGCGCCCTCAGACTGCCTTCGCACGTGGTACATCTACAGCGAAACAGACTTCTGCGACTCCGATCACAAATTCGACAGCGTGTTGCGAGTCACAGACCTTGACGGGTTACCCTCTTTCGCTAACTCCTCAGCGTGCGAAGGATTGAGCAGCGCGCAGGTGTACGGTCAGCTGGAGAACACCACGCAGCACGGAAATGGAACACTGGAGGTGCTCGGCGAGAAGGACTATAACGAGGCAGCGTACGACGAGTACGTGGGGTGGATGGGCGCGGGGCGAGAGCAGTCCAAGTGCATCAAGTGGTCGCCCGCCGCCGAGACGTACGGCAGCTGGGTCAGCGACGACGCGGGCGTGCCGGTGTACCTCAGCTGCTGGGAGCGCCTCTCGTGCTCCAACGCCTTCGGCTTCGACGTCTCCGCCGCCGACGGCGACGCCGCGCCCCCACAGTCGCCGCAGAAGATGCTGCGCGGAAGAGGAAAGACGGACGGCAAGGCTGCCGTTGGATAGACGCGCAGTGGCCCGTGAAGCGATGCGGTAAGGAGGCAGCTGAACAGGCGGTGGGCGCAGCCGTGCATTCCGCGCCAGCTGGCAGTGAGGCCGCGAGGAATCGCCTGGGTACCGCCCAGGCGAGCGCTCGGGGCTCGGGGCTCGAGGCGAGTACAGCGACGTCGAGTGCACACATCAACTACGCCGGTGCTGGATTAGGCGTGGCTACTGTCAAATAGTTCTAAAAAATATATGTAGTATAATAAAGTATGGGTTGATAGATACCATTGGGTTCGCGCTGGCTGTTGCAACTACAATGGCTGATTGTTGCGTGTTCCATGATGAAGTAGTTCAACTACAGATTTCTTCAGGCAGCAGGTCAATACGGATATTCTAAAACGGGAACCTCTCAACATGCTTCAGCATGGCTGTGCTGAATCCTAAATCTTGTGAGTCTTCCGCACTTCCCAAACTGGCTAACAACATTCCATTCCATTTAGACCAGACTTTCTCCATGGGACTACACGGACTGATGCATCAGTAGTACTGTAGTTCTGAAGGGCGCATCTCGGCCCAACACGAACCACAGTACAGCTTGAATTCAATCCCTCCTGGGGGAGGGATCCGCTGACAGCTGGCAGACTGGCTAGCTCGTGATAGGAGGAGGGACAAATGGCGGCCAGTGCAAGGATGTGACAGCAGCACGCACAGTGACTGCCTCTTGTTGAAGAAGAACCTACTAGCGCACTCGTGCACTGTCCCTCTCCTATGCAATGCACGGCAGCCCATGGGAGAACACGGTTGCTTGGGTCTTCCACACACATGTCTCAATGCTGCTGCTTGGGAGCCTTTCTCGCAGGCACTTCTGGGGATATGGAGCGGCCACGCACCCCCATCCACGGCCAGACATGTCCGAGTTGAGAGCGTGGAGCAGGCAGGTTGGCGAAGCAGCGACCAAGAAACCAAGTGAACGGCGTCCCCAGCAGCCGCGTGGAGGTGTGGCACGCAGATCATGCTGGGCGCGCACGAGAGGAGGGCGGCGGTGGCGCTGGCAGGGGTGCGGTGGGCATGCTGGGGAAGTCGGGCGCCACCTCCACGTGCTGCTCCCCCTGCCCTCCGCCATGCCGTGGTGTGTGGTGGGCGCATGGCATGCATGGGGGGGATGATGGGGGTAAGCACTCATGGGTGCAGTCATGGGTGCACTCATGGGTGCACGTGGTGCGAGGAAAGGGTGGTTGGGAACAAGGGGAGGGTGGGAACGAGGGGGGGGGCGAGGAGTACCTGCAGGAGGGCGAGTACCTGCAGGAGGGCGAGTACCTGCAGGAGGGCGAGTACCTGCAGGAGGGCGAGTGCCTGCAGGAGGGCGAGTGCCTGCAGGAGGGCGAGTGCCTGCAGGAGGGCGAGTGCCTGCAGGAGGGCGAGTGCCTGCAGGAGGGCGAGTACCTGCAGGAGGGCGAGTGCCTGCAGGAGGGCGAGGAGGGCGGCGAGCAGCGAGTTGAGCAGCAAGACGAGGCAGAACACATTGCCCGCCACCACCCCACACGCGTAGTACCTGCCGTGTGCCACCGCAGCACCATGGCACGGCAGCACGGTGTGAGGGCAGCATGGAAATTACGTTCAGTCATGCGAAATCCAGTGAGGCGGATCCGGGAGTGCAGCGAGTGTGAGGTGGGAGGTTGACGTGCGAGGCACAGCTCAGGCAGAGGCAGAGGAGCACTCTCGAGTGACAGAGGAGCGCTCTCGAGTGACAGCAAGCCAGTGAGAGGTGTGAGGGCGGAGGAGGGAGCGGCGGTGCCATGGGCGCACCTGGAGAGGCGGGTGGGCGCACCTGGAGAGGCGGGTGGGCGCACCTGGAGAGGCGGGTGGGCGCACCTGGAGAGGTGGGTGGGCAGGTCGTCGAGCGGCATGGCCATGACGCGGTCGTACACGCGCTCCGTGCGCTCCGTCACGTCGTGCCAGCTGTACATGCGCGACACCTGGCCGCCCCCCATCCCCATGCGCGCGTGGTGATGCGGTGCAACCAGGAGATGCGCGTGGTGATGCGGTGCAACCAGGAGATGCGCGTGGTGATGCGGTGCAACCAGGAGATGCGCGTGGTGATGCGGTGCAACCAGGAGATGTGCGTGGTGATGCGGTGCAACCAGGAGATGCACGTGGTGATGCGGTGCAACCAGGAGATGCGCGTGGTGATGCGGTGCAACCAAGAGATGCGCGTGGTGATGCGGTGCAACCAGGAGATGCGCGTGGTGGAGGGCAGCAGGGTGGGGGACAGTGGGGAGGGGGGCATGAGTGCGGCAGAGAGGCGCAGCACAGAGTGCGGCAGAGAGGCGCAGCACAGAGTGCGGCAGAGAGGCGCAGCACAGAGTGCGGCAGGCAGAGCGGGTGCACAAAGCCCATGGCACGGCGTGGGAGCCGCTGATCTTAAGAAGAGTGAATTCTGAGAGGGTGTTTTGAGAAGCCTCAAGAATGAGCGTGGGACACGCGGAGGCTGTGCATGGAGTGCAGGGTGCGATGGAGTGCAGGGTGCGATGGTGGTTGTGAGAACACACGCACCCGCTCGTGCATGGCCTGGGGGTTGACACGTGGCACGATCTGAATGGCCTGTGCGATGGCGTCCACTATGTCTGGCGGGTTGGGGTCCGCCAGCAGCATCATGTCCGGTGGTAGCACCTGGTGGTGGGGGGGGGGGAGGGGGGAGGGGGGGGGGGGGGGGGGGGGAGGGAGGAGGGGGGGAGGGAGGAGGGGGTTGTGGACGGTTGGGACATTCGGGGAGGAGGGAGGGGGGGGTGGAAGCGGAGGGACGGGAAGATCCATGGGCAGGGAAGGAGCATAGGGAGGAGAGTGTGGGAAGAAAGGAGGGCAAGGGACGGAAAGAAGTCGCAGAGGAGAGGGCGTAATGGTGGGCACGGCAGGGGAGGCGTAGTAGGGGAGAGAGTAAGGTGTGGAAAGGCAAGACGTGACTGCACTGTCGTTGCAGGCTGCTCTCTCACACACACCTTTCACCACCCATGTGCATCCCACCCCAACAACCCATGCGCCCTCACCTCCCCTTTCCTCCCCTCCCTCACTGCACCTCACCTCACCGGACCGCACCTCACCCCACCTCGGGCACGCCACCAACACGCGTGGCGACAACGAAGAGACCGCAGCAGGCGGCCTCGAGAATGGCAATGCAGAAGGCCTCTGTCAGCGAGCTGGGGGGGGGTGAGAGCGAGAGAGAGAGAGAGAGAGAGAGAGAGAGAGAGAGAGAGAGAGAGAGAGAGAGAGAGAGAGAGAGAGAGAGAGAGAGAGAGAGAGAGAGGGGCGAGGCATGGCATGCAGGCTTGAGCAGCGCACAGCAGCGAGATGTGAGAGAAGGACGGATGGGAGAAGGCGCAGAGGGAAGCTGCAAAAGGAGGGGAGATGATGGGAGAGGAGAAGGAAGTGAGTGGGCAAGGCGAGACACACACAGAAGCGGAGAACTGTGCAGAGAGTTGTGTGGTGCGAGGTGGATGGGGGGCGAGGCGGGGGAGAGGCGACAAGGGCGAGATGAGTGAGGAGGAGTGGTGAAAGCGAGGAAAGAGAGCAAAAGCAGTGTGGTGTTGGATTGGAGAGTACGAGAATAGTGCAGACGCAATGTCTGATGAGGGCGTGGGGCTGACATGCACCTTCATCTCCTCCAGCCGCCCCCTCTTGGCGCTGTCGCCGCCTATTATCCACCACACCTGCTGCCATGGGACATGCCACGCCACACCAACGCACGGGCCCGGCCAGTGCGCATCAACATACAGAGACCCACACGACATGCACACATACACGCACCCACGCACCCACCCCCACCCCACCCCCACCTCACACGCCCCCACGCTCGCCCGCTCGCGCGCACACATTCAACCCGGCCCCCACCCCCTCCCCACCCTTCTCCACACCCCAACCTTCCCATACACACGCACGCACACACCCACGCACGCACACACCCACCCACGCACGCACAGGCACATGCAACAAACATACACGCACACAGACAATGCATTGTTCAGAGAATGTAATGCACCATAGCAGCACGGTGAGTGCACCATAGCAGCACGGTGACTGCATCCAAGCGGGTGGGCCAATGCGCGCAAGCATCACCAGTGGCACGCGCTTGCACCTTGGGGAAGCAGTGGCAGACGGCGGGGATGACGTCAAAGAGCAGGTCAGCGCCCTTGCGGTACACGAGGCGGCTGATCACCACTATCACCACCTCCATCTCCACCTCCATCTCCACCTCCATCTCCACCTCCATCTCCACCTCCATCTCCCCTCTCGCCCCCCCCCTCGCCTCCATGCCCGCCCCTGCCCTCATCTCCGTACCAGCCCCCATGGCGCTCCCCGTGCTGCCTGCCACGTGCCTGCCTGCCTCCACTGCCATGCTGCTCTGCCACCTTGCTCCTCCCCCCTCTGCTCCTCCCCCCTCTGCTCCTCCCCCCCCCACCCTCCCCCCCACCTCAGCCGCTGGAGGGTGTGCCGTGCTGGCTGCTGTCTCCGCCTCCGCCCCTTCTCTGCTCCACGCTCCTTCCCTTGCCCCTCCCTCCTCTTCCCTCCCCCCAGCCCCCCCTGCCTCGCTCTGCCCCACTGTCCCACCTGCCCCGTGTTCTGCTCCTCCCCCATCCGCTGCATGTGCTGCTGCCTCACTGCCTGCAGCCCTGCACGCCACGGCACCCTCCCCATCCTCCATATCCCATTCCGCGCCCCACACTGCTGCTCTCCCTCCTGCCGCCTCGTTCCGCGCGCTATCAGCGGCAGCAGCGTCCCGAGAAGCACCCGCAGCGCGGGCAGCAGCAGCAGCATGGGGGGCGGGGGGCAGTGGCGGGGGTCGGGGAGGAAGTTGTTGGCGTCGACGGCGTTGGGGATGACGGCCACGCGGTGCGGCGGCAGCGAGGGCGCGGCGCGCAGCACCGTGTTCTCCTTGCTCGTGTGTGACACACAGATCGCCGCGTGGATGCCCGCCATCGAGAACTACAGCAGATGTGAGGGGGGGAAGGGAAGGGAGGTGGGAAGAAAAAGGGGAGGCAGGAGGCTAAGGCGGAGGTTGTGGGGCGCAAGATATGTGAGGGAACCCAATCCAATCCACTGGATTGGACTACAGGGCGTTCCAACGAGTAGCTGGCGGCTGATGCATGCCACGGCACGGCTCCTCGTGCATCTCACCACCCACCCACCCACTTACACACCCACCCATCCAACGGCCCACCACCTACCCATGCACCCCCCCCCCCCCCTCCACCCTCCCTCGGAGCACCTTGTTCATGTGGATGCTGGCGGCGCACCTTGTTCATGTGGATGCTGGCGGCGCACCTTGTTCATGTGGATGCTGGCGGCGTCAGTGAAGCCACAGAGCGAGTGGTCGGTGAAGACGGCGCGGCGGGCGAGCGTGGGGGCATGCAACAGCGCGTCATGGCACATGGGAGCGAAGCTCTGGTGCGCGTGCATGATGGCCACGCGCTCGCGCTCCACTATGGCGCGAAACAGCGGCAGCGACAGACAGGGGAGCGGCGAGGGGGGCGTTGCCCCGTGAGATTGGGAGTGGGGGGGGGAGAGAGGGGGCGAAGGGAAGGGGAAGGTGGGGAAAAGTGGGTAGGGTGGGTAGATGGGGGCAGGGCATGGATTGGGATTGTAGATGCGAGCTGTGGTGGGTGTGCAAGAGAGGCGTGTTCTATCCTATGATCACATTAGTGAGGAGAGACAGGCAGCCGAGGTGAGCTGAAGCACATGGGACCACGGGCAACGACCGATAGTCTAAAAGCGAATGGTCCAATCTGGTGGGAAGGCGAAGGGTGGATGGCGGACGGGGAATGGAGGATGGAGGATGGGGAGGGATAAGGGGCAAGTAACGACATCTCCTCAATGTGCATGCAAGTCCAACATCCACCTGCAGCCACACGGGGCGGCGCGGTGCGTAGTAGACCTTGAGGCCGTTGGTGAGGTAGCGCACTCCCACTCGGTCGCCGTACGCGTGCGTCAGCACCACCACCTGCACCACGGCATGGCAGGGCATGGCAGGGCAGGGTAGGGCGCGCGGGGTTTGGGGGGCGTGGGCAAGCCCGTGTGAGACGACATCATCCAACTCCGGCCCCCACGTGCGCCTCTCACTATCGCGCCTCACAGCAACCTCCTTCCTGCCCGCGCCCCAAAGGGACACCCTCCCCTTCACTCACAACACGCCTACGCCCGCCATCCCTCCAGCCACTCGCTACGCGCGATGCTGCCACGTAAGACTCGAGACCTAATCGCTGTGTCACCTTGGCGCGTGGCGACGTCACCTTGTGGCCGCGCTGTAGCAGGCACTGCGCGAGCAGGTAGATGTGGCTCTCCACGCCGCCGAAGTTGGGGAAGAAGAAGTCGCACACCATCAGCACGCAATGTCGCCTGCGATCGCATGCGACATTCGGATCGTCGTCGGAGACCAATGGTGCGCTGCTATCACTGACGGAACTGCTCCCCGCCATTCGCCTTAGCGACGAATTCCGCCTACGACTCGCGACTGATTTCGCCTACGACGCGTGACTGGTTTCGCCTATGACGCGCGATTGGTTTCGCCTACGATGCGCGACTGGTTTCGCCTACGACGCGCGATTGGTTTCGCCTACGAGTCGCGACTGGTTTCGCCTACGACGCGCGATTGGTTTCGCCTAGGACTCGCGACTGGTTTCGCCTACGACGCGCGACTGGTTTCGCCTACGACGCGCGATTGGTTTCGCCTACGACGCGCGACTGGTTTCGCATACGACGCGCGATTGGTTTCGCCTACGACTCGCGACTGGTCCGTAGCTTGGAGCCACGCTGGGGGGGTATTGTGAGTGATAACGTCATGAAAGCTAACACACGTCGCATAAAAACAGGTTGGACCCCTTGTCTGCAATGGTGACCGTTTGGCGGCAATCTATGGAAAATCTGTCTTTACTCAATTTGAGGTGCAGAGGGTTTTACTGTAGAGATAAAGCTACTAGAAAACTATTTCATACAGACTCAGCCAATGTGGTGCCACGAATCCGTCGAGATTTCGCTAGTGGAACGTTTCCCACCAGAATCTCAACCAATCATGGCCCGAGCAGAGTCAGCATACGAGCCGCCATGGATTCACAGACCGTTCCATGCCCCAGCTGACGCAACGAACGACATTTCCCGAGGAGGGCTGAAGCAAAGCAGGGAGCGGAGGATTCACAGCAGAGGAGCAATTCAGGATCGAGGTTCCATGACTCGAGTGTCGAGTCCAGCAGCCAACTGGAAAGCTTTCAGCAAGGAGCAAGCTCGAGTGCTTTCGGCATTCTCAGTGTCCACGGCAGCAAGCTTCCAACAACCCATGGCGTTCTGGCGCGCCCGGGCATGGAGCACCCACCTCTCTGGGGGCCTCTGCCACCACCCTCCTGTGGTTGGGCACCGTGCCCCCTTGTGCGACCCTTTTAACTCGCCCTTCTTGCTCACAGCGTTGTGATCGCAACCCAAGCGCACCCAACACGCACTCAGCGGACTGTCAGAGTCCGAGAGGCTCTCCGTCCCCCTTCACCGCACACGCTCACCGCCGCACGGCTGAGAGACGCCGGTACCGCGCCACCTCCTTAACTCGCATCCCGCGTTGCGATGGAGCTCTCGCAGGCCTCGGGTGCCGCCACGTGCACGGCCGTCGTGGTGACGTCCGCGCTTGTCGCCGCAGGCGTCGCCGCGTTCTCCAGCGGGGCGCTCTCGCGCACCGCGGCGGGCGTAACTACGGGCGGCGCGGGGAAGGAGGCTACTAATTCCCGTTCCGACGCGGCTTCCGCGAAAGCGTCGAAGGCGATGGACGGCGTTGTGGCGTGGCTGCCCGCGGAGATCGCGACGTCGCTCGACGACTTCCCCTTCTTCCTCAAGTGAGCCGCTTTCCCCTCCTGCCACTCGCCGGTGATTTATTTGCTAAGCAAGTCGTTGAATCTGACTCACGGTCGTGTGTCGCCGCGCAGCAAGAAGACGCGCGAGCTGCTCACCGCGTCGGCTGGGAGGACGTTCCTCTGCGAGGGCGCTTCGAAGCGGTTTCACTCCATCACCGTGCGAGGCCCCGAAGGTACCCCTCGCATCGCATCTCGCCGCAGATCGGAGCGTATTCGTACTTGTCGTGTGCTTCCGCTTTATCTTGATCGTTTCGACGGCGTGACGGCGAGTGCCTGACGAAGCGGGTGTGCGGTGCTGTGCGGTGTGCAGGGTCGGTGCGGTACCAGGCGGAGCTGTGCAAGGGGCTGGCCAAGAAGTTCGACGCCGCCCTGTTCCTCCTCGACGCCTCCTTCGTGCACCTGCTCTCGCAGGTGCCTGGTTCCGTTCTTTCGTGCAGCGCCGTTGTATCCGTCAAGGCTTCTTCTTTTTTTTTCAAAGTTGCAAATCTAAACGACCGTCCGTGTGTGGCAGAGCTCGTACTGGCGGGGTGCGTCGAGCAGCCGCAGAAAGCCCGCGATCTGGACTGGAGGTGAGCATTCCGCTGCTGCATCACCTTGTGGGTGCTCCGTACACTGGACTCTACGTGCTGTGCGGGGACATCACCGTGTTTGACGCTCACGCGTGACATGGAATCTCCTCGTTGTCATGGCAGGATCGGGCTTCGCCTATTTCACGGAGAAAGGGGACGCAGCTGCCACGCTTCAGGTGAGCTACGAGTCACCTCATCCAGCCTTTACTGTCGATCCATCCGAGACAGCTGTTGGAAAAAGAGAACTTTCTGAACGTCTCTTTTTTTACATTCTTCCGCAGGCCATCTCCAAGGCCTCTCATGCGCGCCCAGTGATCTGCCTGGTGGCGAGCGCGGATGGCTGTGCGGCAGCGCTGGCCCAGACCCTGGCGAAGCGGGTGGAGGGTCCCCATGGCATGCTCGTCGTTGCCTCCTGCACTGCTGCCTGCGAGGTGAGCCTGCGGCTCCGCGGAATTGCTTTCATTTGTCCATCTGTTTCGTGTGGATGGGTATGGCCTATGTGGCAACCGGCTCACTCACCCGTGCGTGTTGATCTGCACAGGACGTGCACGCAGCATCTTACTCTGACGTGGAAGTGCGCGCTCCCAAGGTACGCCTGCCGCCCTGCTGAGTGAATCTTGCATCGTCAGGCTGACAATGTCTCTCAGGGCGTGCTGACGAGTGAAGAGTGAGTGTGGTGGTTGCAGGAGAGTGAGAAGGTGCGGGCGTGGGAGGCGATGCTCAAGGAGCAGAGTCACTACATGGTGTGCGAGCGGAACATGCAGGCCATCTTCCTGGTGCGTGACAGAATTGTGCTTCTGCTGGTGCTCGCTTTTCTAAATACATCGTCCTTCTCATGGGTGGTGCAAATGCTGCAAGTGGCCTCACGTCTGTCTGTCTCACCTCTCTCTGAGTGCAGGCGCTGAAGGCGCGCAAGGTGACGTGGGATGAGGACGTGGCAGACGCGCGGTTCAACTTCACGGCCGCGCTCACTGCCGATGGTACGCTGCGCTGCTCGCTGTGCGCTCACATGATCCACTTAGCCCGGTCAGGGGAGTTTCTTCTAATCGGTTCTGTGCGGTGCGTGGGCGTGCAGAGGTGGAGGACATCATCAACATGGCCCTGTCGGAGCAGATGCTTGCCGGCCGCACCAACGCGCAGTTGCACGTCACACGCGACAGGTGCGTGTGCCTCCTTGCTCATGCCTTTCATGGGCCTCATCCGTGGCACGGCGCTCACGGCGCTGACAGCATGTGTGCTGTCGATTGAATGCGTGCAGGCTGGAGTACTCGCTGAGTCTCTTCTTCGATGAGGATGGTGCATGCCATGAGAAGACCGCCGTCACCAACGGCCAGGTACCCATCACTGCCCTGCGCACATGTGCATGTAGATGTGCATTCCGTGTTCTACTTATTTATAACTGCAACGTCATTGTTGTGCGTGCAGGTGGGGCAGGGCAAGGAGCCAGTGGCGGTGCACAAGGCGGTGCTGCGCGTGGGCATCCCCAAGGGCGACGAGGGCGCGGGCTCCAAGGTGGGCACGCCCAGGGGCGATGCGGTGAGGACGCCCCGGGCAGCGGAGGCACTTGCTGCCAAGGTCGCCTCTCCCAAGGTGGCCACGCCTAAGAAGCCAGCTCCAGCCCCTGCCCCGGCAGCGGCATCTGTAAGTTCACAACAATCCTGCGCTGCATCATGCTCCCTGCTCCCACCTCCTGGCTTCCAAGCTCGCATGGTTTTGCTAACGCGGGGATTTTCCCCCCGTGTGCGGGGCGGGGCAGGACGACAACGACTTTGAGAAGCGCATCCGCCCGGAGATCCTGGCGCCGGGCAGCATCGGAGTGACGTTTGAGTCCATTGGAGCGCTGGAGAGCGTGAAGGAGTCGCTGCGGGAGCTGGTGCTCGTGCCGCTCAAGCACCCCGAGATCTTCAACAAGGGCGGCCTGCTGCAGGTGAGTCAACACTTTCACTTCGCTACTTTGACTTCTTTCTCTTCTTTTAGGCTCACTTGCGGTTTTATGTCTTGAGAGCTTCTGACGCACGCTACTTGGTGGTGGTGGCAGGCGTGCAAGGGCATTCTGCTGTTCGGCCCGCCGGGCACGGGCAAGACGATGCTGGCCAAGGCGGTGGCCACGGAGTGTGGGGCGAGCTTCATCAACGTGTCCATGTCCACCATCACCTCCAAGGTGGGCGGCTCTTACGATTTGATCTATTAAGGATTTTACTAGTTAATCGAGGATTTGCGGTTCTGGTATCAATGTCTGATTGGGTTGTGTGGTGCATGCGTGGCGTGCAGTGGTTCGGTGAGGACGAGAAGAACGTGAGGGCACTGTTCACGCTGGCGGAGAAGGTGGCGCCCACCGTCATCTTCATCGACGAGGTGCGCTCTCTCCCCACACCCTCATGCACTCGCGCGCCATCAGCCTTCAACCGCCCGTCACACCCATAAGCGTTTTAATTGGCTGGGTTCGTGTTCGTTTGGGTGGTTCACATTGATCGTTTCGCATGCTGCGGTGGCAGGTGGACAGCATGTTGGGGCAGCGCAAGGGGGCGGGGGAGCACGAGGCGATGAGGAAGATAAAGAACGAGTTCATGACGCACTGGGACGGGCTCGCCTCCAAGGCGGGCAGCCGTGTGCTCGTGCTCGCCGCCACCAACCGCCCCTTCGACCTCGATGAGGCCATCATCCGCCGCTTCCAGCGCCGGTCCGACCACACCCATGCGCGCCATCCTCTTGCACTTCATTTACTCTCGGTCTATCATTGCATCCTGTTTTGATTATGTGTGAACCGCATCTCTTATTGGCCCCATTCTCGTCCTCGTTATTGTTTGCTGCAGCATCATGGTGGGGCTGCCGGACGCGGGCAACAGGGAGCTCATTCTGCGCTCCATCCTGCAGCACGAGCACGTGGATGCTGACGTGGACTACTGTGAGCTCGCGCAGCTCACTGAAGGCTTCTCAGGGAGCGACCTCAAGGTGAGTCTCTGTGTGCAGATTCAGTTATTCTCCTCGGTGCTAATGCAAGAGTGCTATCCTGTATGGTGTTTCGCAGACTCTCTGCACCGCAGCAGCTTATGGCGTACTGAGGGAGGCTCTTGCAGCAGCAGTAAGTGTAACTCTTCAGCTTTGCATTTGTCCCCTTTCTGCACTGTCTGAGCACTCATGCATTTCCCTGCCCTCTGTTTTCAGGATGACGGTGCTAACGAGGAAGCATTGAAGCTGAGGCCACTGACCTTGAAGGACTTTCGTGAGGGCAAGAACCAGGCAAGTTGTGCCATGGGTGGTATCTTGACCTGCACCCGTGATATACGGTACATACATGGTTATTAACCATGCTGCTTTGTGAGTATGCTGCAGGTGTCGGCCAGTGTGGCTGGTGAGGCGCAAAGCATGCAAGAGCTCAAGGAGTGGAACAACCTTTATGGGGAGGGTGGGAACCGCAAGAAGGCTGTACTTTCCTATTTTCTGTGATTGTATGACAATTTTTACAACAGTAACAGCTGTTTTCTGTGATTGTATGAGCAAAAGAATCTTATTGTAGTAAGGTACCAGTCTCAACTTTGAATGTTTTTGCAAATTTTGTAACTAGCCAAGGTTTACCAACCAGGATAATGTTGAGATACAATAGTAATTTAAGTAGGCCATGATTTAGGAGAGTAGCAAGTGAGTTGATTTGATGAGAGTGTTGTGAAGTACCAGATAAAAACCTGAAGTTACAATAATGGGGTGGCCCACTACAGCCTAGCATAACTAGCAACACATATAAATATATGTTCTGACACACCTGTCAAAATGCACACGCGTTAGGGACAAAGCCAAGGAAGACGAAGCTGACCCCGCTGCTGCAACTCTCGAGCCAGGAAGTAGCGCAGAGCAATGTGCTTCGTTCTGTGCTCCAGTCTGTGCTCCTGACACAAGGCAATGGCGGCCTTGTTGTCGACGTACAGGACCGGAGGAGAACGAGGCCGCTCACCCAAGTCGGTCAGCAGGTAGGTCAGCCAGCGTAACTCCTGTGCAGCCAGGGCCCTCGCATAGATCTCATCCTCACATCTGGAGCTGAGAACAAAGACGAACGGATAGACCTCCACGAAAATGAATCGGAGCCAAGACTGAAAGTGTAACCTTGTGATGACCGTTGAGTCGCCTGGTCGTCTGCCCAAGAAGCGTTTGATTGTCAAGTGAGTACAACCGAACCCAACTGAACCCCGTCCTCCAAGCACGAGCACCATGCCTGATGTACTCCACAAGTAACGCAGCACCCTCCGTGCAGCCCGCCAATGCTCTGGTCGATTTCCCCTGGGCGCAACGTAGCGTGCCAAGATGCTGAGAGGGTATGTGAGGTCTGGTCGGGTGCAGGTCATCAGGTACATGAGGCAGCCCACAAGCTCTGGCTACTGATTACTCGGCTCTACGGACTCATCCGAATGTGGAATTGAGAGCGAGTGGCTTGTAGGCAGAGGAGTGGACTATGGCGAGGAGAACCAGAAGCCGAAGCGCTGAAGCTCCTGGTGCACCATGTGTGACTGAGTCAGGGTGATGGTGCCCCATGCTCTCTCCTAAGTGATCTTCAAGCCAAGATAACTGCGCGCCGAAGCGCTGAAGCTCCTGGTGCACCATGTGTGACTGAGTCAGGGTGATGGTGCCCCATGCTCTCTCCTAAGTGATCTTCAAGCCAAGATAACTGCGCAGTTCACCCAGGTCAGTGCAGGTGTGTCGCTTATGCAGCTCCGCCTTCACTACGGCCAGTGCCTCAGTGTTAGCAGTAGCAAAGACCAAGTCGTCGACGTACACGAGGACGTAGAACAGCGGAAGAGAAGAGTCGGTGCGCAGAAACAGTGACGGGTCAGCAGTCGAAGGAGCAAACCCAAGAGCCGCAAGCGTCATCCTTGGTGTGTCGTGCCACTCGCGGGGCATCTGACGGAGGCCGTAGACTGGCCGTCAAAGGCTCTACTGGGTACCCTCAAGAAACGACCCAGTGAAGCCAGGTCGGCGGCGCAGCCAGATCTCCTCGTCAAGGCTGCCCTACAAGAAAAATGTGCTGAAGTCAAGCAAGTGGAGCTCGTAGTCACGCTGTGTTGCAACGTGCAGTAACATCCGAAGAGTGGTCATCTTCGGGGAGGGGGAGAAGGTATGGAAGAAGTCAACCCCCTGTCGCTGATTGAAGCCTCGTGCAACGTAAAGTGCCTTGAAGACAAGCAGAGAACCCGGGAGCCGCTTCACCCTGAAAATCCACATGCCATCGACTATGTTCGCCTCAGGCGGGGGAACTGCGTCGATGTAAGTACCTTTGGACTTCCATGATGCCATCTCTACGTCCATGGCTCTCTGCCACTGAGAGGAATAAGGACATGTGATCGCCTGTATGTAAGAGCGCGGGGTCGGGATGTCTAGTGCATCCGCGTCTCCCTCAGGGGCAAGCAGCATGGCAGCGATATGAGGTACAACAGCCGCAAGGCACTCGAGCCGAAACTGCCTGTCCTCAAGGACGTCAGTGCCAAGGGCACACTCACCCCGACGGACGGAGGACAGTCAGACTCAGTTTCGGTAACAACATTAGTGACGTAGTCAAGACGACACGCAGAAGCAAAGTCAACGAGCTCTGTGACCAAGGCAGATGCAATAGCAGACTCAAAAGTAGGGTCAGTGACAAGTGTAGCTAGAATATGCGTGATAGTAGGACTAGTAGCACGTGCAAGGTTAGACCCAGGGTAAAAATTGTCAGGAAGAGAGGACTCGGGAAGAGACGGTAGAGAAATACGCTGTGGAACAGAGGAAGGACGAAGTGTCATAGTGTGATTTCCAGGGACTGGGGGAGGACGAGGACGAGGAACACGATGAGCATGACAAATAGTGCGAACAGGCGAGGCAGGACGAGACGTAGGCCCACGGTGCTCTGTCAGGGAGTCTAGCTGCTTAGTGTAAGGAGAAGGAGCAGGCAACGGGGAGTCCTGCGGTAACTGTGTCTGAGACGGGTCACGCGGTGGACACAGTAAGGGAGGAGCAAGGCCAGTGGAAGATGGAAGACTAAGAACCTTTCGAAGTGCCGAGCCAGGTGGTGGTAGCGACGAGTGCAGCTGTGGCAAGAAAAACGGTCGCCGCTGAGCAGTATCCACAATACCAAGTCCTCAGTGTGTCGTGCCACTCACGCGGTGCCTGGCGGAGACCGTAGACTGGCCGTCGGAGGCTCCACTGGGTGCCAGGAGGGAAAGTCCCAGTGAAGCCAGGTGGACGGCGCAGCCAGATCTCCTCGTGCAGGCTACCCTGCAAGAAAGCAGTGCTGAAGTCAAGAGAGTGGAGCTCGTAGTCGCGCTGAGCGGCTATGTGCAGCAGCACCCGAAGATTGGTCATCTTCGGGGTGGGAGAGAAGGTCTGAAAGTAGTCAACTCCCTGCCGCTGACTGAAGCCACGAGCCACGTACCGCGCCTTGAAGACAGGTGGAGAGCCCGGCGGCCGCTTCACCCTGAAGATCCACATCCCACTGACGATGTTCGCCCCAGGAGGGGGAACCGCGTCAACGTAGGTGCCTGTGGACTTCCAGGAAGCCATCTCTGCATCCATAGCTGCCTGCCACTGAGAGGAGTAGGGACCCTCTACGGCCTCCGCGTAAGAGCGCGGAGTCGGGATGTCTAGTGCATCCGGGTCTCCCTCAGGGGCAAGCAGTACAGACGCGAGATGAGGTGAAGCAGCAGCCAGACACTGAAACTCCTCCTGCTTGTCCTCAAGGACGTCCGTGCCAAGAGCACACTCACCCCCGACGGACGGAGGACAGACAGACGCAGACTCAGCAACAAGACTAGCAGCGTAGTCTAGACGACAGCGAGCAGCAAAGTCGACGAGCTCAGCAACAAGAGCAGACGCAGCAGTGGACTCAAAGGAGGGGTCAGTGACGACAGTACCAAGGAGACGCGTGACAGTAGGACTGGCAGCACGAAGAGAGTCCGACTCAGGGTCGGCAAGTGCAGGAAGAGGAGAGGGCAAAGGGGCACGCAGAGGAGCAGTGGACGGACGCAGAGACATCCGGTGCGTGCCAGGGACAGGAGGAGGACGCTGACGCGAACTGCGACCACTAGTGCGAGCAGCACAAACAGGCGACGCAGGACGAGACGCAGGCTCACGACGCTCAGCAAGACCTCCTGTAGGACCAGTGTAGGGAGAGGGAGAAGGCAGTGGGGAGGCCGGCGGTAACTGTGACTTCGACTGGACAGGCGGTGGACCCTCTAAGAGAGGAGGAAGACCAAGAACCTGCTGAAGGAGCAGAACGAAGTACGGCCGAGGCCGCGCGGCGGCACCAGACACAGCAGGGATAGCACCAGCACTCTCAGCACCTCCGGCAGCACCAGCGCCAACAGCACCTCCAGCGGCAGGACCTCCAGCAGCGCCAGCAGCACCCGCAGCACGACCACCACCAGGACGGACAGTAGTAGTCTCAGAACCAACACCCTCAGCAGCTCCAGCTCCAGGCGGACCCGGAGGCCCAGCAGCTCCGGGACCGGCGGCACCAGCACCCTCAGCGGCCGAAGAAGCGCCAGCTCCAGCAGTACGCCTCCAGCGGCGAGCAAACCACTCACGCAGCTCCTGTGGAGAGAGTGGCTCCAGCTGAGACGAAACACCCGGAGAACCTCCAGGCCCAGTACCGCCAGACGCCACAAGGGGAGGTCCAGTGGCCGCAGGCTCCACACCTCCAGGCTCAGCAGCTTCAGACGCAGCACCCCCAGGCTCAGCACCCCCAGGCTCAGCACCCACGCGCGCAGCACCCTCAGAGTCAGCACCCCCAGGCTCAGCACCCCCAGAGGCAGCACCCCCAGGCTCAGCACCCCCAGGCTCAGCACCCCCAGACTCAGCACTCCCAGAGTCAGCACCCCCAGGCTCAGCACCCCCAGACTCAGCACCCCCAGCAGTACCTGAGTCACCAGCAACCTCGACCGGCTCGACTGCATCGACCTGGGACACACCTGAAGGGGCAGGACCCTGAGGGGGAAGGGGGTCTACCGGGGGGGGGGACCTGGCACAAGGAAGTGCGGTGGCGGTGGGAGGGAAGGAGTGCGGTAGGGGAAGAGGCGGTAGAAGGGGACGGACTCGTCGAACGTGACGTCCTGGGAGGACAGAACACGACGAGAGGAGGGGTGGTAGAACTGCCACCCTGGGGCGTCAGGGGGGAAGCCTAGGAAGACACAGGGAGTAGCACGAGGGGACAGCTTGTCCGCAGACAGGTCGCGGACAAACGCCTGAGATCCCCAGACACGGAACGCAGACGCATCGCCGACCTTCCCCGTCCACAGCAGAGCTGGGGAGGTCTCCGGCCGGGAGACCCTGGGGTGAAGGTTGAGCTGATGCGCCGCGTACCGAACCGCAAACGGCCACAGAAAATGGGGGGCAGCCGCATGCATCATGGACGTACGAGCGACGTCCATGACCATGCCAATGCGGCGCTCAGCAATCCCATTTTGCTGTGGAGAGTCCGGAAGCGTGAAGGTCTGGCGGATGCCTCGTGCACGACAGTAGGCTCGCAGAAGGCCAGAGGAGAACTCTCCGCCTCGGTCAGAGTGCAGACGCAGAACAGGAAAGTCCGAGCCGAAGCTCCTCCTGAGCTGGAGACGAGCCGCGCGGATCCAGTCGATCAACACCTCAGTGACATCACCCTTGCTGCGCAAGGGGAAGACTGTGGTGTAACGCGAGTAGTCGTCAACCACCAGCAGGAAGTAGCGCTCGTGACCCTGTCCACGGACGCGGGCTGGGCCCCACACGTCCATGTGAAGCGTCTGCAGAGGAGCCTCTGTCGGGTGAAACTGGGAGGAGTGAGGGGCAGCCCGGAGCCGCCCCTCAACACAGGGGACACAGGAAGGTCCTGGCCCAGAAGGAAGGGGAGGGAGAGACCGGGGGAGACCAGAGACAAGGACACGGGAAGCCATGCCCCGAAGACGAGGCAAGGAGGGGTGGCCAAGACGGTGGTGCCACAAGAGAGTCTTGTGAGACAGGAGGCGACACGAGCAGGGGGCAGACTCAGGACCAGACCTGGACGCAGCAGCAAACACCTGACCCGACGCAGCTACCTGACCAGACGCAGGGACTGGAGGAGACTCAACGGTCAGGGTGTAGAGACTCGACCCGGGCCGACGCGAAAACGTGGCTAGGTGTCGGCCTGTGCGGGCGTCCGAGCAGTGGGTCCCCCGCTGACTCGAAGGAGTAAACTGGTGAACCCCCGCATCCTGCAGGTCAGCACCACTCACCAAGTTTGTCGAGAACGAGGGGAGGTACAGACCCGACAGGGTGCCCGAGGGGGCAGCCGGACACGGGAGGACAGTGGAGAAGTGAGCGAGGACAGGACCCCCAGAGGGGTCAGCCAGGGAGACTGCAACCGGCCGACCAAGCGGCGTGAGTGTGGTGCGGTCTCAAAAGAAGGAGCGAGAAGCCCCTGAGTCAAGTGTGAAGGTGAGGGAGGTCGAAGCCGACGCAGTACCTGAGAGCGCAGCCTCACCAGTACCTGAGAGTGCAGACGCACTGGCACCTAGAGCAGCAGCCTCACAAGCACCTAGCGCAGCAGTACCAATGCCCGGGTCGGGCGGGAAACACCGGTAACAGTCACCCTCATCACTAATAGTCACAGCATACATGGCAGCAAGGATAGCATCAAAGTCAAGATCAAAGATCGCTACGCCAGCCCTAGACAGCTCTCTCCAGCGGGGAATCTCACTAGCCTCGGGGAACTGCTGACGCCAAGCGTCCGTCAGGCGGCCAAAGCAGCGCTGGGTGGAGTGGGCACCCCCACACTGCTCACCCGCGCGATCGCCGGAACGAAGAACGTAGGTGCACGGGCCAAGACCCCCACCACGCTGACGCTGCGTGTACCACTCACGGAGCTGCTGAGGCGGGGGGATGTCCCGAGAACGTTGCTGCTGCTGCTGCTGCTGGCGCTGACCACCACCAGAGCCGCTCCGCTGCGGGGCACTACCCCGACCGGCTCCACCTCCTCCGCCACCGCCGCCTCCACCTCCGCCACCACCGCCGCCTCCGCTCCCTCCGCCGCCGCCGCCACCGCCGCCGCCTCCGCTGCCGCCACCACCACCACCACCCCCACCACCACTCCCACCGCCACCCCCACTCCCTCCGCCACCGCCACTGCCACCTCCACCGCCCCCGCCAGCTCCACCCGCGCCCTTGCCCCCCTTGCCCTTGCCAGGGCGGCGTCTCCCGCTAGGGGCAGACGCCGCGCCGACCGACTCAAGACCAAGCAGGTCGGCAGCAGCAGCAGAGGCAACAGAGGGCAGCAGGGGGGAAGGAGAACACCCCTCAAAGATGGGGGTGCGCGGGTCACCACGAGAGGCTCCTACAGCGACTATGCTCTTCTCCGCCGCTAGGAGGGCCTTCTCGAGGAGGTCAACAGTGAGGGTGGTGGGACAGACTGAGAGGAAGTGGTCCCTGACTACGCGAAGGGAGTCAGGGAGGCGAGTGACTATGTAATAGAGAGCGATGTACATGGGGGGGGGGTTCTTGGCGCAGAACTCAGCAGGAAGTGCAGCGCGGTAGCGAGTGTCAGAAGTGCGGAGGTGCGTGATGAGGTCAGCGACTGTAGGAAAGGCAGCAAGGTCAGGAAAGAGGTACGGTAGCATGAGGCGGCTTAGTGCACCAGTGGCAGGGGAAGAGTAGCGCGCAACTACGGCGTTGTACAAGGTCTGAGCACTCTTGTACTGACTAAAGTGCGCACGCTCAGTGGTAGGCAGGTGGCGACGCACAGCAAGACGTGCAGCAGCATCGCGGGTGGCCCACTGAGAGCGAACATTGGGGTCAGCATCAGCAGCAGGAGCAGGGGAGGCGCCAGAGGTGAGGTCAAAGAGAGAAAGACCGTCCGCCCTATTGCACTGTAAAAACAACTGCAGGTCGTCGACCCAGACCTCAAAGTCAATGGCTCGACCCTCAGCGTCAAAAGCGAGGACACTAGGGGTAGCCATGACGACAGACTAGCAGTGCAAGCAGTGGGGGAAGGGCACGCAGTAGCAGTAGGGCTGTGCTCACCAGACAGGGCAGGTCGGGCGGCTCGGCAGTAGTGCGGCTCGGCTGCGGGGCGGCTCGGCGGTACTGCTGCTCGGCGGCCCGGCGGCTCGGCGGCGGCTGCTGGGCGGCTCGGCTGTACTGTGGGTCGGCGGCCCGGCGGCTCGGCGGCTGCTGGTGGGCGGCTTGGCTGAACTGCGGCTCGGCGGCCAGGCGGCCTGGCGGCTGCTGCTGGGCGGCTCGGCTGCTCCGGTACCGGGCAACGTGGCGGGCGGCTGCTCGGGCGGCTCGGCAGGAGGGGAGACCGGCGGGGCCGCGAAGGTGAGGCGGCGGGGCCGCTACGTGAGGGCGGCGGGGCCGCGAAGGTGAGGCGGCGGGGCCGCTCCGTGAGGGCGGCGGGGCCGCGACGTAAGGGCGGCGGGGCCGCGTAGGTAAGGGCGGCGGGGCCGCGTAGGTAAGGGCGGCGGGGCCGTGTAGGTAAGGGCGGCGGAGCTGCGAAGGTGAGGGCGGCGAGGCCGCGAAGGTGAGGCGACGGGGCCGCGACGTGAGGGCGGCGGGGCCGCGACGTAAGGGCGGCGGGGCCGCAACGTGAGGGCGGCGGGGCCGCGACGTGAGGGCGGCGGGGCCGCGACGTGAGGGCGGCGGGGCCGCGACGTAAGGGCGGCGGGGCCGTGTAGGTAAGGGCGGCGGGGCCGCGACGTGAGGGCGGCGGGGCCGCGACGTGAGGGCGGCGGGGCCGCGACGTGAGGGCGGCGGGGCCGCGACGTGAGGGCGGCGGGGCCGCGACGTGAGGGCGGCGGGGCTGCGACGTGAGGGCGGCGGGGCCGCGACGTGAGGGCGGCGGGGCCGCGACGTAGGGGCGGCGGGGCCGCGACGTAAGGGCGGCGGGGCCGCGTAGGTAAGGGCGGCGGGGCCGCGTAGGTAAGGGCGGCGGGGCCGCGTAGGTAAGGGCGGCGTAACGGGCCGCTAGGGGCGACACGGAGGGTCGCTAAAAAAAAGGAACGCGCGCCTCGGGGCGCGCTTCGGTGGGCCCTGGGAACAGTCCCTAGGAGGGGACCTGCTCTGATTCCATGTGAAGAAGTGAACGTGAATGAATGAACTATGAGTGAAGTGGGTACAAGTACTAACCCTAATTGGGTTGTACCCCCTCTGGGATACCCCACTATAGCCTACACAAAAGCATAAGCTATAATGTTCTGACAAGAAAGACGCAGCGAATCGAGAAGAGAGCTTGTCCGCTGTGTTATCACGGACAAGGGCATGCGAACCCCAGACCCGAAACGCCGACACATCGGCAACCCCCCCCGTCCAACGCAGTGTAGACGAGGTCTCTAGCATGGAGACACGGGGCTAAAGGTTGAGTTGATGCGTGGCGTATCGGATCGCAAACGACCATAGAAAATGGGGAGCAGCCGCATGGATCATAGAGGTGCGAGCTGTCAGAGGTCCACTGGTGATCCCCGATCGATCCTAGGGAAGGGTTACAGGCACGTTTGCCTGGGGGGTTATGGGCGCACTGACCCGCTACTGAAACAAGCCCTTTTATCCCAATGGTCTAGTGGTTGGGATTCTGAGATGGTATCAGAGCGAAGGTCTCGGGTTCGAATCCCGGTGTATGCACTTCGGGCATCCCAGTGCGGGGGGGTGTCAGAGGTCCACTGGTGATCCCCGGTCGATCCTAGGGAAGGGTTACAGGCACGTTTGCCTGGGGGGTTATGGGCGCACTGACTCGCTACTGAAACAAGCCCTTTTATCCCAATGGTCTAGTGGTTGGGATTCTGAGACGAGCAACCTCCATGATCAAGCCAATGCAGCGCTCAGCAATCGCACTCTACTGCGGAAAGGCCTGAAGCGTGAACGACTGGGCGATGCCCTCTTCACGACAAAAAGCCTCAAGAATGCGGGAGGAAAACTCACCACCTTTGTCAAAGTGCAGACACGGGACCGAAAAGTCCTGCAAAAATCGCGCGCGGAGCTAGCGACGGACGGTGCGGATCTTGGGAATCAAGACACTAGGAACATCCGCCTTGCTCCGCAAGGGGAAGACCGTGGTGTAGCGCGTTTAGTCGTCAACGACCAGAAGTAGCGCTCGCGGTCTGGTCCACTGACGCGGGCTGGGCCCCACATGTCCATGTGGAGAGTCTGTTGAGGAGCAGTGGTCAGTGGAAACAAGGAGGAGTGGGGAGCGGCGCGCTACCGCCCCTCGACGTAGGGAAGGCACGGTAGTGCTGGCGAGCGCGGGAGCAGGTGCAGGGACCTAGAGAGGCCAGAGACAAGGAGACAGGAGTGCATGCTATGCAGACGTGACAAGGAAGGGTGACCAAGATAGTGGTGCCAGAGGAGAGTCTGGTGCGTGAGAAGTCGACACAAGCAAGACGCAACTAACTGACCTGACGCAGCCACCTGACCGGACTTAGCCACCTGTGCAGACATTCTGGTCAGTGTGTACAGGCCAGACCCAGGCCTCCGTGTGAACGTGGCGAGGTGGCGGCCAGTTCGAGCACATATACAAATTGCCACACGCTCACCTCGAGGAGTAGTGGTAGTGACCAAATCGTAATGGAGGACAGCGTTACTCACCAAGTTCACGGAGAATGGGGGGAGGTGGAGACCTGAGAGCGAGCCAAAAGGGACTAATGCACACGGAGAACAGTAGAGGCACGTGCAACGACTGGGCCCCTAGAGGGGTCGGCCAGAGAGACTGGGACAGGTGCAGAGAGTGGTGTGACTGTGTTTCTGTCTCGGAAGAAACTGCGAGGCGCGCCAGAGTCAAGTGTGAAAGTGTGCAGGGTCTCAGCAGGAGTAGCACTTGTGGCAGCAGACGCACTAGCACATAGAGCAGCAGCCTCTATACCAGGGTCAGGAGGCACACACGAGTAACAGTCACCCTCAATACTAGCAGAACCAGCATATATAGCATACATGGCAGCGTTGATCTTATCAAAGTCTAGAGAAAACACATCAACCCCCTTATGGAGCAATCCTAACCAGTTGGGGATCTCAGTGTCGTCACCGTGCGCGGTGCGCCAGGCATCCTCAAGACGGAAGAAGCAACAATACTCGGTGTGTCCAATCTTCCCGAAGGGGTCACCTGCCCGAAGATTCGTGCGCCTGATGTACGGGCAACGAGCACTACGTTGAACAACCCACTCACGAAGCTGATGGGGCGTGAGTGTCTCCAGTTGGCACTCTGTTGTTGCTGTCCACCCCCAGAGCCTCCGCCTCCACGAGCTACACCCCCTTGTGTCGTCCCAGACCCTCCCCCCTTAGAAGCTCCACCCCGACGGCCACCCGAGCCCCCTCCGCCCACCCCACCGCTCCACCACCCCCGCCACCTCCACCGCTGCCACCACCACCCCCACCCCCACCACCACCACTGCCACCACCCCCAGCAGCGCCACCCCCACCACCCTTACCCCCCTTTCCCCTTGCCACTGCGGTGCCTCCCACTTGGAGCAGACGCGGCACCAACCTCCTCAGCACGAAGGAAGTCACAGCAGCAGCAGAGGTAACAGAGGGCGCTCTGTTAGCCCATCATTCTGCTCCTTGAACGCTGCTGCTACATGCCTTGAGCTCTTGCTCAGGATCGCCCTGACTTCCAGCCACTTACTCACGTGTTCTACCATGAGCACGATGTACTGCTTCCCTCCCCGGCTCAAAGGCAGTTCTCCAGCCAGATCAAGGGACCACCTGAAGCCTAGGCCGCAGATAGGTAGGGACTGCAGCTCAGCCTTGGCTTGGGTGAGGTTTGCCCTGCTCCTTTGGCATGCTTCACAGCCCTCCACCCACCCCTTCACTTGCCTACGCATCCCTTTCCGCCACCACCCCGTCTTCAGCAGCTGCACTATAAATTCATGCCTGAAATGCCCTAGTTTTGTATGCACCTCCTTGATCACTGATCCCTCTCGCCCAGCACTGAAACTAGCTTCCATCCGTCCTGGATCTGTATTTGCAACTACTGCTGGTACCACCTGTAGTGGTGTCCCCTCGCCCTAACTCTCTCTGGCATCTCCTCATCCTCCCCTATCTCCCCCTTCGCCCACCGCATGGCCTGTTCATCCTCCCAAATATCTGCTAGCCCCTCACTTCCCTTGGCCCCGCTCAACTCCAGCTGCCTTGCCAATAATGTCATGGTCGCTGTAGGCTCCGGCTGTGGGGGGGTTCTGAGAGAGACTGTCCACATGCTCCAAGGTCTTTCCTGCCCTGTATTTGAAATTGAAATCGTGTTCTTGCAGTTTGATCGCCCACCGTGCGTTCCTGCCTGTCAGCCCTGGCGTTGTCATCAGCCATGTCAGTGGCTGGGAGTCAGTAGCAGACGGGCCCTCTACTGACAGGTCACGCCGCTCGCCCGACCCAACCGACCCTCACCGAGTGATTGTGCCGGTTCACGCAATCGACCACACACGGCCGAAGGAGGGTACTACGGTAGACAGCCCCATACTGCTTAGTGGGAAAATCGGGACCGACTTAGTTAAAATCTTCGTAGACGGGGGAGCCAGCCACAGCCTCATCAACACTGCCACAACACGGAAACTGAAACTACCACTGGATAGATGCTTACCTGAGATCGACGCAAGACTGGTTGATGACTCGCCACTGGCGATACGGGAACGCGTAGACCGGGTTCGGATTCGATGCGGGGGAAACTTCACGTTTAGCCAGGAAATGCTCACGACAACCCACGACGAAACCGAAATTTTACTCGGTCGTGATTGGCTGCGACAACACAATCCGCGAATCGGCTGGACGACGGGTGACTGCACGGTGCAAGTGAACGGTAACAACATCGCCTTACCTCGTTGGGGCTCGCCTGAGTCTTCGTCGGTGGGTGTCAACGCGATCACGATGAAACGGGCCGTAGCGGCAGGAGCTGACGTGTACGCGGTTGACATTCGGGAAGCCGAGGCAGCAGACAAAGGGGGGGATTTACAAAAACTGCTAGCTAACGTACCGGATGACA